AAATGCGTTCAGTGTGTGGGGAACTTGATGCTAAAGGCAAATCGCAGCCTCCTGCCAGGACCAACCCCAGTAAACTGCAAAGACAGAAAGCCTTTAGAGAGTGGAATTCAGTCCCAGGAATACACTCTGAACCCACATGAAAGGCCCCCGATGCCAGACTGCGCTGGCCTTGAAGATCAAAAAGAATGAAGATGCAAGCTGTGAATGAAGTTTTTGCTATGCTGGTGTTTAATTATTGACACTTCCAGGGCCTTGAGTCAGTTTTGTCATGTCAGCAAGAGAAAATATGTATTAACATTCAGTTTTAAGCCAATCAGTATTGTTGGCAAGTCTGCCAGAAATCAAATACTTTAATCACTACAGCTGCAGCCAAATTTCATCCCCGTCTCAGTTCAGCCACAGCTCAACTTGGATAAGACACGACTCAATAATAATTCCGGAATATAATTTGCTTCAATGAACAATATTATTTTTGCGTTTTATTAAAAAAAAAGAGTGACCTTTTTGACCCCTGTCATTGCAGGCTGTTTATCCGGCATTTGCATCAACTTAACCCCATCAATCTCCAACCTTATTACCAACTCCACTGGGTTTTTTTCCCCATTTACTACTAGTGCCTACAGATGGAGAATGTTAAGCAAAGTCACTCAGGCATAACTAATTACTCTGGCAGACTGCTTCTGGATTTTTGACATGTAGCTCTGTTGGCGTAAACGTATGATTATGTGCATAAATATTGAGGTTTTTACAGGTTTCCACTGTCCTCAGTATTATTCAAAAACACATCCAAGGTGGTTACATTGACCCTGATTTTTATTCTTCTCATTTGCTTAACATGTGTTTTACGTTCTGAAAAATTATACTAGAATATTGACTTGAAAAACGAAACCAAACATGCTGTTCTGTAGGATATTCACAAAGTCTTTGGAGGAGAAGAGTGGAAAGCTTATTATAACCATATACTGTAGGAATAGAATCATATTGTGCTAACAGCGATATGCATTTAATCAGTACCTCAACACATATTCTCTATATAAAGTAGGTTCAGTTTATATGAGCATATATATGAGCATATATATATATATATATGCATATATATATATATACAGTATATATAAATGTAATGTTTTCAGTGCAGTTAAATCACTCAGCATTTGAATAGTATCTCCCAAAAAAGTGTGGACATCCCTGATCTAAACACATGGGCTGGTTGCAGCACTATTGTTGTTAGTTAGAGCCAAACATTGTTCTATATTATTATACAGCAAATAGCAGAAAACTTTGTGTTCTACATAAACTAAAAAAAAAAATCCCAAAACATCCACATCCAACAATAATGTATATATTTTTAAAAGAAGTTTTCTTTAAAAGATGCCTGGCTAAGTTTGCAGAAATATCATACATCAGCAAAACGATAAGATGATTTGTATCTCACTAACTCACTTCAGCTCTCATTGCAGAACACAGAATAAAAAAAAACAATAAAAAAAGTGTGAAAGAGAAGAAATGGAACAAAGGAACAGAACCACCAACCGCTGATAATTCATCAAATCTGCAGATTTCTTCGACGTTGTTCAAGGTACAACTTGTTTTCCTTTAAAAACACAAAAGCCGTAAAAACCCACAAATGAACGGAAGTCCCGTTTGGCAGGGAGCGACCTGTGTGCCTCGGAATGTGAATCAAGATTCCTGATTCAGCTGGATGTTGGCGAAAGGAACAGGTGAACTGAGATTGACGTGTTGTAAAGGAGGGCACAAATGAAAGATGATTGCCAAATGTGGCCCTTTGGCAGCAGCAGATAGCTGAAGCTGACTGTGGGGCAGGAGGCTGTGTTAAATGAAATGT